ATCAACAACAAACCGTTATTTCAGTTGAGATATAAATAAATAGCACTTATCGGCTCTCAGAATCAAACCATATTCCCGTAGGCGTTCGAATACCCGCAAGAAGTGAGAGCTATGCTGAGTTCTGTCTGTTGATGCGACGATAATATCATCCAAGTATGCACAACCCGATGGTATGTCCACTAGCATAATATCCATCAGTTGTTGAGAGAGTCACAGAGCAGCGTTCACTCCGAACGGTAGTCCATTGTATTGATACGGACCACGGTGAATGTTAATCGTAGGGGGGGGGCGCCGTGTGTCATCATCGACTAACACTTGAAGATAGGAATATGAGAAATCAATCTTTGAAAAAATTCGACTGCCGATGAGTTTGGCGAAAAGATCCTCCGGTAGTGTTGATGGAGATTCAGTGCTGCGTTCAGGCCGGTTGAATAATCGCCACACAGGCGAATCGTTCCGTTTGGCTTTTAACTATCACTACGGGCGCTGCCCAGTCTGAGTATTCCACTTCAGAAATCACCCTCGATTGCTCCAAGCGATCCAATTCATTGTCAACTAACTTAAGAAACGCATACGGCATCGGTCTTTTGGGTCGGAAAATGAGTTTTGCGTCTTCTTTTACCTACGGAGATGCCGTGAACCTGGTGCAACAGCCAAGTGTGGGGTTGAACACTTGCGAATTGGTTCTCCACATCGTCCGCGATTGTAGAATTCTGCGCTGCGTAGCACCGTGATAGACTCTTCGGTTTGATCGCACTCAATGTCAATTGGAACACTCCACAAATTCAACGCGTTATCCAATCAATACCAAGTATGTTTAATCCCGGATTGTCAGAAACGTGACAGACGCCAGTTCGCTTATCGTTTCTGTAAACCATATAGCTGTAGGATATTGTTCGATGCACTCCTTAAGGTATTTTCCGCATTGCACAGTATCGGTCTACCGATAGCCGACCATGTCGGGCTGGAGATGATGGGAATGTCAGATGCAGTATCCAGATGTGGGCGCACTCAGTGACCATTAATAGTGACAGTGATCAACTTACGAAGTGAAAGAAGTCCTTCCTGTGCAGTTGCATAAACCACATTACTCACATTTGATTCCGCGTTGTTAAGACAGTTTTGATTGACCCCTACGAGGAGGACGTCGTGCGGTTGATCGGAAATGCGTTTCCTTATGGCCTTTCTTGTGGTAGACGCTGCACTGGTGATTGATGGACGGACAGCTTCTGGTAAAATATCACCACAATTCCAACAAAGACATGGTGGTTTCTGTCGTGCAGCGCTCGGGTAGACGTTGTATCAACCATCGCGATCTCTAACATTACTTATCTCGAATGCAACATCGTGAGTCCCTTTTTAACTTGACTAGACGCTCTGCGGTGACGTCGTGAATGGTGAAATCTGGAGATGAGTCCAGTTTGATAACAGATTTGTTGTAATTTTTGCGTCAGCCGCAGTGGTCAAGCCAGGTACAAAAATGAATGACTTGAACTGATCGTCTGTAAGTTGTTTGAGCTTGAAACGTTCACATGAATGGTTCACTTGGCGTGATTCTTAACCAGCTTCAAACATTGATAACGTGTGTTAAAAATTGGGAGCATTCACCAAAAATGGAAGTGAGAACATCTACAGTTTCCTGGAAATTGCATTCGCGGGAATGTTTCGGTAGCATGAAATTACAGTACTGGTTGTGTTCATTTGTGCCTAGCTTCCGTGGCAAATACCGCAACAGCAAGTGTGATCACGTCAACCGGAAAGATCTCTTCATACTGCCTGTACCAGGTTGCAAAAGTGATGTTGTTCTCTGCATCGTATTGGAAGTCTCGCATTCCGTTTGCCAACGCTCGAGCTGAAGTGAACTCGGGTTTCACTGTGGTGGCTGTTAAACTTAGGGATGGCAGTTTCTCACTGAGTGCTTGGAATAACAATGTCTGTCTTTGTTCTTGTTGGAGCATAGCCCGCTGTTGCTACTGTTGTAGCAATTGGGTTAGCTGTGAATGATCAGCTATCTCCGTCGCCAGTGTTATAATGGGGCATAAAGCAGTCAGAACAAAGATTTTCACCGCATCGGACAGAGTACTGACCAAATGTCAAGTCACATGAAACAGGCAAGACAGCCGACAATATAGCTCAGGTGGTAGAGCAGCGGACCGGAAATTCGTGGACCGGGGTTCGACTCCCCGTCGAGGCATATTATTGTGCGTGAATTTTAATCGTGACATCTACTTTCTACAAACTTTACCCTACTCACAAACTTCCAACATTAATATAGCTTAAGGTGAGAGGGTGTGTCAGACAGGCCACCTCGCATAGTCGGCAGCTTCATGCACAAGAACCACAGTAGAGCAGTGAGTGAGAATGAAGTTCACGGTCAGGAGTGTGGGACGACGTTATACTTTTAAGACATTAGATAGCCTGGCATAACAAGGACAATGTTGACGAACCCCACTTGTACTGAAGAGCTTACTGTGGACCTTTATCCGATGTGGGGAGCCGTGGTAGACAGAAGGAGTTTCTCTGACGATGGGCAGTACCATAAGCCTGGCCTGATCAACAAAGTCGAACGCGACTTTTAGGTCAAGGAAAACCACTAATAGATCGTCTGTAGGTGTGTCCTTACTCAAATATTAGCGGAATATAAATATGTGATCAGTGCAACCAAAACTATGGCGGAAACCAGCTTGGCTCACAATGATCCGGAACTCACGAGGAAGGAATAAAAATAGGACCAGTGCCTCAATGGTAGTCGCACGTTTTTTAGACTATTTTGCAGATGGTGGCAACACTTGATAGTTATCAGTCTGAGGGCACCTCTTCAGTGTTCCAATGTAATATTGAAGAGAGCGGCAAATCCGGTCAAACAGTCACCACTAATTTTCATCAAATATGGAGGTTGGTCTAGGAGACTTGTTTCCTTCTAACACAGGGACTTCGTGTGGAGTCCCCTCCAAAGTTTGATATGTTCTCACATAAGCTAAAGTGGTTCAGCAAGCTGTGGCGTAGCAGTGGTATCCAATTGAGTAGATCGCCTTCAGCGGATCGAGTTGCATAGCATAAAAGCGACATCACCATCATCTTCACCAAGGCACTAATTGGCAACATGACGGACAGTGAAACCCGGACAATAGCCCCACTCTGACTGACCAGTTGAGATGATTTTTCCATCTGTGTTTGTAAGTCCCTTGACTCATATTTCAGTCGTCACCATTATCTCCCTCACCCGCTATAAAATGCCACACTAACTGTGTACCAATTCACCTGGTTTGACGAAGCTTTTGTGTCAAAAGCGAAACGTTTCCAATTAAATAAAGCAACCGATTATGTACAAATCTCTGAAACCATGACTTCTCGATCCATTCCAAGTATGTCCCAAAAGCTTGAAGTTGCAAGGTGCTTTAATAATATTCATGTATTTCTCAGACATTCGCAAAGGGCATATTGATCCACCGAGTCAAAGACAACTTTGATACAGAGGAATGGATTAGGGTGGGTAGTAACACAATCTGTTAAAAATGATGGAAGATCAGATGGATGCATCTATAACTGCCCGAAAATGAGCCCCTTGTAGATCGGGAATGTCACGGAGCTCCTCCAGTCGGTTGTGACAGTTTCATTAGTAAGCCGTGTAGATTATCCACAAAAGCATATCCCCGAATTTGAAGAAGACTGGAGGAAGTTCATTTGATCCCCCGGTCTTACTAAACTCACACCGCCCGATCTCACGTTCGACTCTAGCACAAGAGGACTGATCCGACGGATGGCCCAGGTAGCAGGGTAGTCACTGGCCGGCAGGGAATCTGCTTATCACGGGCAGGTTAAAGCGCTTTTTATAGTGCTCAACCCAAAGGTCGAAGCGTTTTCACATGCCGTGGATAGGCTGTCCTGTCTCCGTGCTTTTGGTCTCGCCAACACCACGTTCCCTGTTGCCCGATTCACGCTTCAGACGGATTGACATCCGGTCGTTACCAATGATGGTGGTTGTTTCAACCAACAATGCACGATGAGACCAGCAGGCTTCGCAGTCTCTTCAACCTATCAAGCAGGTTTGCTCTGAGGTCTCTGCGAGGTTCGTTGTGTTCGCTTCCGGCCGGATTGTGTCGGCGAGCATCCAGAATTTCTATAAACGGCTTAGAGACTAAATGTTCCGGTTGGCAATCACATTTACCAAATGAAGGCATACTGTTATTGCTAACAAGGTCTGCCGAACATGAACGAAGGAGCTCGTTCACTTGTCCACTTGATTGGACATGGGTTTGTCTACGGGACCAGAGCGATGTGTGCGATTGCGTGTGAGTTGAAATTAGAAGACAAACGAAAATAAAAGCAAGGCGGTGGAGGTCACAGAATCGGGATTTTGTAAACAAGGAGGATACAGTTAAAGTTAGAGGTGAACAGTAAAGGTGAGGGCTTAATGTGGAGAATAAGAGGACAGAAGTGATAGCATGCTTACCTCTATCCAGCTCGCTCGACGCAGCAGATAGGTTTTACGTTGATTATCCTCCACAATGTCCATGGCATTGGGAAGTTGTTTGTAGTGGAATTGTATTTTGTGGAAAGAATACTGTCAGGTTGCGCAGGTCTGGATATAAAGATTAGGGCCATTAACTGAAGACTTTGGTTCAAGAACCGGACAGCAGTGCTGCGAGCTTTTGAGTGGGCTACAGGGAGACAGTTTTAAGGGGTAAAGAGCCACTCTCCAAGCAGCCACCAATCTGGAAGCTTGGAGGACTGAGTTTGTTTGGTCTCTAGATATTGACAAAACTGGTATGAGTTGCCCTGAAGGTGCAAGTAGTACCACCCAGCATAACTCAGTGGGTTGTTGAGGGCACGCAAACCATCGCACCATGATAAGACCCAGATTCATGAGGATGCAGAACGGTAGTCGAGAACTTGTTATAAACACTTAAAACAGTCGAAACTCTCACATTAATGGCCAAGCTATGTATTACTCGGATATCGTTGGCTATTTCCTACTTAATTGACGATATCAAACTTACCGATCCCTTGGATACTCTCGGGTTCTGATCCAGGTTCGTACTTGGAGACCTCTTGATACCAGTGGTCCACCACCTCTTGGCCTGTGGTACGAGGGGAAAAGCGTTGATTAGGTGAGTTAAGTCTGCCACAGGAATTAAGACATGGCGAGCGATCAATAGTAGTGAAGATCACCAACGTGACCTGGAGTAAGTCCGTAAGTGGTCAACGACGAACATACACCAGTTCAAGGCAGCCAAGTGCAAGATGATTCATTTGCGTCATCGACCGGTGAGCGGGTACAAGATTTGGAAACACACATTGCAGAAGGATTCTCATGGGCGTGACCTTGGGACGTATGTTCAGGACGATCTCAGCTACTGGAAACAGTCCGAAAAGACATTAAGAACCGGTAGTTAACACGTTGGTTTTCTTCACTGAGTTTTCGATCGGTATGACCCCGCAATCTTTCCACAAATGCTTAACACGTATGTGCGACCTCACGTGGAATACCCCATCCAGGCGTGTACCCTTGGTATTAACAAGATGTTTGTGCTCCCGAAAATCCTCACCGAATGGCGTCCAAGTACGTTAGGGGCCACTTGTATTTGCGCTACTTGCTTGGAGTGAAGTCCCTAAGAATGTACAACAGTCGATTGCAGCGCTTGCGAGGGGACCTCACGACCATCACACAGACCCTACGGGCAAATGGCTACCTAGTAGCCTTTACTAGGATTCATAGCCTCCCCGCGGAAAGTGAACAGCCGGTCGTTCTTACTGTAGCAAAAATGCTTGTTTGTCTGCGATTAACCTTCAAAGGTGAAGTTCTGACTAGGCAGGTCGAACGACGCACAGCAGTTGCAATACGACGTGGAATCGGTGCCGCTAGATTCTGCCCTCTGGACAACCAGAAAGCTACCACTACCCCCAGACAAACCTACTAAGCCGGTCTCTGCCACAACGCACTGTATCTACCGACTTGTTTGTAACTGTGGAATCAGCTACATCGGCAGAACTGACCGTTGCTTGTGTAAGCGGATTGGGGAGCACATTCTGAGGCGTATCGTTACCTTGACAAGGCAGCCGCAAACAGGGCCTGTGTCGACGAACAACGTACTTGCCTCTTCGAATGCGAAGCACCTGATGGAAATGGGTCATCAGGCGGATACAAACCCGGCGTTCAATGTCATCTATCGTAACACAAACGCCAGAGTCCTCAAGCTTGCTGAGGCAGTGGACATAAAAAAGCATTGTCCAACAATGTGCGTCCAGAAGCAACTGTTCGTTACGCTCAAACTCCCTTGGAATTAATGATTCCTCCTCAACCTGTAGCCAACGTTTACTTCGCTTGCATGTGACCTCACGCCTTCAACTTACTGATTTCGTTTTTGTCACGTTATCATTTAATATGTTGTCCGTTTGCAAGGAACAGCGGGCACGAAACGGTGCCATTTTGCAACATTCGTGTTAATAAAGTATAGCTTTGCTTTTTCACCTATGAAACTTGAACAAACTGGGTCGTTTGACTTGTTTCTACCCATATACATGATTGTATTAGTCTGAAATCAATTGCTCACCAAATGATCTAGTGTATTAGAAATTCTCAGGATAGGGACCACTTTATATCCCTGCTAATAAATTTACAGTGTTTCTCTATAGAAGCGATTATGGATGTGGATGAGAGCTTATCGTACTATGGCCATCATAGACTGAGGCATTTCATCAGAAGAGAACCCAGTAAATTCGGGTTTAAACAGTGGGTCATCGCAAGTCCTCTATGCTGCTGCTGTTTCCTGCCTGGCGTCCCAGTCCAGAGGGAAGAAAGCCGAAGGCAAGATTTAACTGACCGGATGTATACTCTGGGCTGAAGCGACTACATATAAACGTATCTGCCTTCCAGTCATCTGTGTCTTCCTGTCATCTGCGTCTAGGGCTCGATCATCCGACTGATGTCACTCGTAACACAGTTTCCCGTCTGTGCACCGTCTGGCATCGCTAGAATCGTTAGCTTTCATAGTAGGAGTGGATCGTATGAACTAAAACGTCGCTCAAACTTTGCAGAAAATAATGGTGATTACTTTTCGTTTTTCTTTTGGATGTTGCAATGAACAATGCCTAATGTGGACAGAAAATCACCTGCACATAGGCAAGTGCTGCGAGACATGTTTTTTTAAACGAGCTGTCGATTAAGTTTACCTGAAAATGTACGTAGCAAAGATAAATGTCCCACGAAGTCTTCCACAAGGCGGAAAACGACAGAAAGTTGAAAATGGAATCAAGAAATCTTGCTCTGGACATCACGTGGCATCCATGGCAAAACAAAGAAGATGTGGTCAATGTGGGAAGAATGCTAGTCTAATCTGCTCGATTAATGACCATGTGGAGCCCAAATACTCTTTTACAAATATTGTCATTTTTGAGACAAACACCACAGTTGGTAAGGTGGCATACGCTAAAAATACATGAGGCGTTTTATGGGTCGATGTCATATGAACACAGTGAACTGGGCGACGACAACAACCACATGTAGGCCGTTGGGTAAAACCAACAAATGTGGATTTTGCACTGCTCTCCGAGCCGAATGATTATTTTGCAAAATAATCATTCAGCTCGAAGAGCAGCGCAAAACCCACATCCACATTCCGAGCTACGGATATTCTCCACTATTTCAAAAGAACAAATGTATCCCCTGAGTAAGAATGAAAAAATGGATAGATTATCAACAACAAATGATACCTGTTATACGGTTAAGTGTATTTGACCAGCGACTGAACACATTCTCGCCCAAACGGATACCCTGGTAAGTGATGCCACTGTTCGAGAGGAAGTCCTGATTCACCAGGTAATCCGCCCAATCCTGAGCCATCTTTGACAAGTGCTGGAAAATACACCAAAATAAAGAAGATAGGAAGTTAAATGCACAAACGGAAGATTTGAAAGTGAAAGCAAGATGAGGTCGGAATACTCTACGAAAGTGGACACTAGGTAGTACAATGCACGGCCAGTTTTCTGTTGTCTTAAAGCACTAAAAAGAGTGTTAATTTTCTGGATGATTCGTGCAAGCAAAACGAAGACTGATCAGCGATTCCATAATCGGTTATTACGGAACAAAGGGTTAGTTTACAATACATAATAATTAGAATTACTATATTATTGAAGCGCACTTTAAGTGGTTAATTCTTGCTATCCATTTGCCTGATTTCATTGGTTCGCCCCCTCGTTCGCTCGCAGCTGTTTGGACCAATCCTATGTTGACTGGAATAAGGTTGGGCATTGTTCACAATATCCTAACGCAATTTTGGGCTGTTCATGTGAATGGAATCAGATTGCACCAGTGATGCTGATTGGTTTTCCACCTGACGGCTCTGACTATCTCCCTCGCTGGGTCTATCAGCTGTCATCACACGATGCGCCGTTCCTTCAGGGTCAGTTTCGCGTGCTGGCAACCCGACAGCCTTCGTCCGGGACCAAAAGTGTGTTTGACTCATAACACTACAACCCAATTCCTCACTGTCCATCCGGCCCTTGTAAAGGTGGTCAACTTGTGCTCGCGGCGCTTATTCGCTTTCCAATCCACTACACGCGAGTGACTTTCACTCGCGATAAGTGTTATTTACAAAGCGAACACACTCCGTCTAGATGACCAGGGGCCATATCAGTGTAATGCCTTCTCATGCTACTTAGACACATACAGTAAAGTCAAGTTGAACTTCGCGAGTCTCTGCGCATATTTCATACAAGCTGGGCGTAACATAAGCGTTCGTCGCAGTACACGTGTTGTCTTCCACCGACGTTATTTATTTTGGCGTGCGACCTTGCGTCACGATAATCCGGAGCAACAGCAGTCCATCAACGAATTTGGGTGCTGTGCGAAATCCGCAACAAGCTCATTAACCATTGGTTGATTGTATAAAAATTATTCGCACAGAGCGAATAACTGTTACCCTGTCGCTTAAACCAGGAACACGGGATCTTCGAATTTGTAATTCCTTCTCTGAAGAACCTACGGAACTTAATAAGCCCACGCCACTGTTTCCTTGTAACATCTGCCGTCTTCGCAGCTACTATCTGGTGGAAACATCACGTGAGTAATGAGCGTGTTCGGTGTCGCGTATTCGGTGCAGAAAGAGCGAGTGAATCGCTTAGCACCGGGCTCCGATGGCTTGGCCACGTGTTGCGCATGCCAGCCTAACGCGACTCACGCGTCGTGCGTTATTTGCGCGCCCGAAGTCTGTATGGAAGAAGAGGCCGTGATGACTTCGTCAAGGGGAATGAAGTCCATCACTACGAACTTGGCGTCCGTAGGCGTCTCCCGACTCCAAGCCTGGAGTACAAAAACCGATGAACACCTTTGGGTGGGTACAATAGTTGACAGCTAGGAGCCGACCTAAATGGTGTTTGTGTTGAATTCCTTTGACACTCACCCGCTTATCTTCTCCCACCAACAACGATCTCACACTCAGCATGGAGAATATTACAAAGCATTATAATACCAGCGTTTTTAGGCCTGTGTTCTGTAATGTTTATAATCCCGTATTCTAATATATATATATATATATATATATATATATATATATATGGTTGGCGTAATCCGGTTTCGGATTTGCCTGTCACTGGCCAGCCACAGGACGCCTGCGCCTACAGAGGGACCACAGGTGGCTTGCGCTGCACCACCCACAGCTCCAACCACACACCCCATACCCAGTGTAAACCCGAAGGAATAAGACCGGAAGGCATGTGGATGGGGGCCACGTTTCATCAACGGAGCCGGCTCACACTCCTTCACAGGCAAACACAAGCACACTGTATTTGGAGAATCAAGCGCACACAAGGCGGTGGATGGACCGTAGTCCGCTCCACACTGAGTACATGGAACCGCTCTTTGAGCCTAGCACAGCCACAATGACCGTGCACCCCGACCCCTCCAGTAACGACCAACTGTCTCCTAGAGCCAGTATGGACGAAGTACTGGGTAATAGACAGGTAGACACCTTGTCAACATGCACATCAAGCGCAGCCACACTGGGGATATGAAGCAACAGCCAATCACCTGAAGCGACAAGATGAAATAAAATAAATCGGATAAGGCATACAAATACTCATCACTAAATGGGCGTATAAAATAAATTGTTTACGAACGAATCCGCGATAAGTTCAAGACGTCAGAAAATATATTTAAGAAAATGCCATGCATGCAAAAATGTTATCGAAATTAACCACAATTAGCTCCAGCGACGTGTGCAAGTTTATAGAAGATAGTGCAGGTGGACATTAATATGAGAAACAAAAACATCAGGACAAAATTGAAAACCCACCACCAGAAATAAAGAGATTTAGGGTGCAAGCATGCGGTTAGTGAATAGAATGCAGCGTACCTACAAACGCTGTGCCGGTTCTGCCTACGTTCTCGTCGCTTCGGTAGTGGTCCCTAGTGGCCTCGCTCATGACTCACTAGGCCTGCCTGACTCAGGCACTCGCGACCGCATGTGCTACAGTACCATGCGCTCGATGTCGATGGAGTACAACCCATTGGTGCTTGTCGCTTCCACACTTACCGAATCTTCTCCGCATGCATGAGGGCTTTCCCCTGCACTTCGGCAATTGTCTTGTGATTGGATCGCGCCATGCACGCCGATCAACCGCCTTCGATTCCCATGACCTGGAATCAAAACGTGAGAGGCTCACTTTAATCATGTCCTGGTAACGTAACTTCGGTTAGCCCAAATGCCAATTCCCAATACGCAGCTGACCATATAAGAGTTGCTTCGGTATCCGCGTTGAATCCATACGGCTCACATGACCGAGCCACCTCAGGTGTCTCAGCAAAAGTATGCAGTCCACTGCATGCACTCCACTTCGACGCAACACTTCCGTGTCCACAACTCTGTCGCCCCATTCGATGCGCAGAATCCGTCGCAAAAACTGTTGTTGGAACCGCTCCAGATATCGCACATCCCGACGGTACATCGTCCACGTTTCACTGCCGTATAGAAGAACGGACAGCACCATGGATTTGTACACCAGCAGCTTCGTGCCAATGGTAAGCTGATGGTTGTTCCGTACTCGATACTCTAGCTTCCCGAATGCTACCGCTGCTTTAAAGACGCGGATACGAAGCCCACTGTGTAGCTGCTGATCAGTCGACATCACACTCCCAATGTAGCAAAAGCAGGAGGTGGTTTCCAATACTTCAGTACCAATGCTGATTCACGGCAATACTAAAGATTTCACCTCCGGTGAAGGCTGAAAGAGACAGACAGTTTTCCTTGTGTAAATAGTGAGCCCGAATTTGGCCGCCGTCGAAGCCAGAGCATTAGTCATGTGCTGCAACTCATCTGCGCTGTGCAAAAAAACGCACAGTCGTCAGCAAACAGCAACATACGAATACATGTCTCATAGACTAGGGTTCCCGCACCGAAACGACGGATGTTCAACAACCCACCATCGATACGGTGCTCCACACGAAAACCGTAAACACAAGCCACATCAACCGCCCAAGACATCATGGCATGAAGACATATATTAAACGGGACAAGAGCTAAGACACAGACTTGCTTCACATCAGTGACAACCGCAAAGTCATCCGAGGTCTCTCCACTCAGCTGCACCCTCGCTCGCATACCACTGTGCAGACATTCAACTAAACTTACGCGGTCAACCAAACTTACCCAACACCAGCCACAATGCCTCGAGGTTCACCGTATCAAATGCCTTGGTGAAATCAACAAAAAGCGAGTACAATGGCTGGTGTCGTACGCTGTACTTCTCCTGCAACTGACGAGCTGCAAACACCATATCTATAGTGCTGTGACCCGAATGGAACCTACACTGCTCTTCCGCCACGTTAGGTTCCACAACCTGACTGACGAGGCGGTTGAGCAGGATTCGGGCAATCACCTTGCCCATACAACTCAGCAAGTTGATGCCATGGTAATTCGTGCAACATTGCTTGCTACCTTTGCCCTTGTACAGTGGTAGCACAAGGACATCCTTCAGCTCAGCAGGCACCTCCTCCTCAATCCATGCACGTTGCACCAAGTGGTGCAGCGCATTCAACAACGCGGGTCCGCCGTGTTTCAATACTTCAGGCGGGATCCCGTCGGCACCGGCACACTTGCCGTTACGCAGCTGAGCAAGTGCCCTCTGCGTCTCATCCAGTGTCGGCGTGTCCGCCAGACTCGCCTTCACATCGTGCTGCTTGAGGGCGTTCAATGTAGGCCAGTCGATCTCTGCACGGCTGTTAAAGAGACAGTCAAAGTGTTTTCGCCAGATTTGCATTATGTCTGCAGTCTGTGTGCGGGTAGCGCCTGAACTATCATCGATCAGCGTCCTCAGTGGCTCCAACCTCGGTCCATACACCGCCTTCAAGAAGTCAAAGAATTCTTTGTGTTGGCGGCGTTCGGCGTAGCATTCCATTGCCTCGGCTTCTCCGTCCACCATGCATTTTTAATGCGACGGAGCTCTCGGGTCAGCCACCGTCGAAGTTTACGAACCTGACTCTTCTTCCCCAAGTCAATAGGATCTGCCACATGTGCAGCAAATGCTGCATTCGTCTCTTCAAACCAGTCAGGCCGCTTACAGTTTGCGCGCCCGATGGTCTCATCGGCAGCAGCTGTCACCTGGTCGCGAATGTGGTGCCACAGGTCGCCCATTGTGGCTATGCAGTCCACATAACAAAGGCGTGCAGCCATCGCCTTCTCCAGCTCAGTACGTTTCGCCCCAGTACCGAGAGAGAGAATGCTAAATTTACGCCGGTTCACGGCGAAAGTGCAATACATAGATTTAAGAAAATATAGGTACAGTTTGGTGCGCAACAATTTGTGATCAGTGCCACACTCAGCTGCACGCAGTACACGTGTCATGCGCACTTCACACTGA